AACCAAAGGGATCAGAGTCCTGGAATGCCTATTATCTAATTTTTGAAAAATGTTGTTCCATATATTTTGTTCAGTTTTCTGGGCATTGGAGGGCTAAGCTGGACCCAATTACTCCATCAAGTCCAGGAGTCAAAATCCACCTCATTTTCTTTTTATATTGCTAAAAGTATAGCTTCCAACTATCAACAGCTTCAAGAGAAACTTAATAGAAAAGGTACATAAGACTTGAATCTCTGGCACATAAATTTCAAGGAACTGATGCTACAGAATCATGAGACAATTAATCTTTCAGAGAAAGTTCAGGAGAAGGACAGCTACTTTGGAGCTCTTTGCTGCCAGCAAAGAATCGTAAACAATTGATTTTGTTTTGTTTTGTTTTTAGCCTGTAACTATTTTTGGCTTAGGTCACTGAATCCAGGTCTTTTTTTTTTTTTTTTTGTCAGTATTTTTTCTTCAGTTAGTAGAGCAAGTATATTCCACAGTTTGGCAGCTGGGATAAGCTGCTGACAGGCACTGTCATTTGGTTTGCAACTTTGGTGATGGCACAGGGAAGAGTCTCTATCTAGGGTAAGCAGATGGGATACTCGAAGGCAGAAGAAACAGAGAAGATATAATGAACTGAAGATGAATTTATTCCCTCATTGTTTTTGTCTTAGTGAAGAAATGCCATGGAAGGTGTTGGCAGAAGTCTGACAAGGAAGAGCTGAAGATAATCATTTCCCTCCTCTTGGCACAGGGTAGAGCAGTTGGCTGCTCTTGGAAAAGGGAGAAAAGTTTCAGGGAAAAGCAACAAAAATAATTAGGCAATGGAAAAAAGAATCTGTGGAGGGAAGAGGCTTAAAACTGACATTGTTTATATTCTGAAGAACACTAAGATGTCTTCGCATATTAGATTAGTTTGCATTTACGAAGCACATTAAAACCCTTTCACAAAACACTGCCAGATTATCTGATTTTATCTTCGTAATAACCCTGTGAACATAAGGTATTATTTCTATTTTATAGAGACATAGACTAAAGAAGCAGAGTTTAATGGATTTGACTCAAATCACAGAGCCAGTCGATGACAGAGACCAAAAAAAAAAGGCTGTCCCAGGCCATTCAACAAGGGACAAGGGTATTTCAGCTGTCATTCTTCATCTCCATTAAGGATGCCACTAGGAAAACAAGTTTAAGAAGTGAAATCAAAAGCACAACAACATTGCAAAAGACTCCAGAAAAGTTTCCTGGCATTTTCTGGGCTTCTGGATAAAGACAGAAGACTGAATACACATACCTACTTTCACAACCTATTAAAAAGCCACTAAAATAGTAAAGGGATTTTTTTTTTAAGGCACAAACCCACAAAAACTTGGAGAACACAAGATGAAACAAAAACTAATTTTGAGAGAATGTAAAGCAGAAGAAAAAGAAATATATGACTTAGCAGACATAAAAAAACTGAATCTTCAGTTGGCAGCAATAAACCCTGGAAATTGGCAGTATCAGGTATCTCTGAAAATGTGGGTAAAGGGGGGACTTTTAAAAAGAAAATTATTTGAAAGTCTTATAGGTCTCAGATCCCCAACCCACTTTGAATTGCCAGGAAACCAGCAGTGCTCTGTAGCAACGAAAGACTGAAGGTCTTCTTTTTAAAAGAACTTCGGACTGATGTCACTGAAAACAGCTCAAGGGTCAGCTACTAAAAATAGCTTACTAAAAATAGCAGAGGTTGCTATCCCACTGGGCTCACAGAATGCTGTCAGCCAGCCTTCACCTTCCGGGAAGGAGACTGAAGATCTCTGCAGAATCTCACCAGCTCTAGAGGATATAAACATCAGAGGTCCCCCATTCCAAAGGCCTAGTCAAAGTGACCTGCAAGGGAGCTCTCAGTGACAGTATGCACTCCTGTTTTCATATTTTCAGTTACCTTTTTAGTCCCCTCTTAAAACTGAGCAGAAAGCCACGGATCAGCACACATCTAAGGAAAGCTTCTTCCAGTGTGTGTTTTTTCCAATACCACTAAGCAACTGCCCAGTTCTCAGCAGACACTGATTGGGCATCCTACAATTTAACTCACCTCTGGCACTATCTACCCAGAAACAGCATCAGATCCCGCCTGTTAAGGACTCAGTCCTACAAGACTGCCCCCTTCCCGTTCAGACTCCAAGGACAAGTCCAGGTTGTCACCGGTGCTTCTGACAAGATGGTTATAGATCAGAGGTTCCCACAACGCCCTCACTGGGTTCTATCAGTTTGCTGAAGTTGCTCACAGAACTCAGAGAAAAATTTGCTTACAATTACCTGCTTGTAAGAACATCCAGATAAAGAGGTAGTACATGGGGTGAGGTCCAGAAGGGTCCCTAGAGCAGGAACTTCTGTCTCCAGGGTGTGCCACCCTAATGGCATCTGGATGTGTTCACCAACCCAGAAGCTCACTAAATCTTGTTGTTCAAGAGTTTTTAAAGCTTAATGTGCAGTCTCCCGTGCCACCTCCTTCCCCATCCCCGAGGTCCATGACTGGGGCTGAAAGTTCCAACCCTCTAATCACTTGGTCTTTCTGGTGATCGACTCCATCCTGAGGCTGACTAGGGGCACCACCCTAGGGCACCTCATTAAAGCTCGGGTGTACTCAAAAGGGGCTCCTTATGAATGACTGACAAATGATACTCCTATCACTCAGGGAATTCCAAGGATTGAAGAGCTCTGTGCCAGAAACCAGGGGAAAAGACCAAATGTATTTCTTACTATACCATTCTTATAAACTAAAAGATGCAGGAGGAGGGGAGAATTGGGAGAGGAAGGAACGAAAGAGAGAGGCTATGTAGAGAGAAGAATCACCCCAACTCCTCACCAAAAAAACAAAGCAAAACAAAACCCATCAGGCAATTTCAGATTTCAGGTCAGTGGAGACAAAGAGATCATCATCCCTCAAGCAACAAGAAAAGAAAAATAAGATTAAAAGTGCCTTAATCTCAATATTGCAATCTAGACAATGATGATGAAATCCTTTTAAAATTCTGAAGGAAAATTATTTTCAACCTAGAAATCATCACCACGCCAAACTACCATTTAAAAATGAAGAAAAATAAATATATTTTCAAACATGAAAAAATTTCAAAAAATCTTCTATGAGAATTAAGTAGGAAACACACACACACAAAAAATCAGAAACAAGCTATACAGCACAAAGAAGAGATAGAGAGCATCTCAGGATGATCATGAAAGAAGGTTCCAAGTGATCAAAGGTGTACCTGGCAGAGAAGGAGCCGATTCAGATAGGTACAGGTAAGAACAGTGCCACAGAGAGACACCTTCAGGAAGACAAAATAGAACCCTGAATGCAAATGAATACATTCAAGGGTATTCTAGATAGTTGTCAAAGAGTCTAAGGTTGGATTGACAATAGGCACATTAAAATTAAGCAAATAAAAGAGGACAAATATTAAAATTGTGTAGTAAAGGAAAAGTAATCATATTTTTATGCATGGCTCAGCTGCGACTAGGGAAAACAGTCTTAATATAAGAATGGTAAATATATTAAGCCAAAATTAGATCATCACAATATTGGGAGTATAAGAGATTAAAAAAACATGCAGTCTATAGCATGGCCAGTGAGAAAGAGGCATGGAGAACCTTCCTTAAAACCAAATGAAAGAAAATCTATAATTCGAAATGGTTGGCATTTTAAGATTTCTGTCAGAATTGAGAAGATGTAAACAAACAAAATCTTAGCTGAATATAATCAACTATGAAAGTTAAGTCAATGATTTAAACACATACGTTGTTAGACACATTTTTTAACTGTCTTAGGAATTTGCATTTCATTCATTTATATTCACTACAACAAAACCAGTATTGCAATTTATAAGGTACCTCCAGGCATTTCATTTGTTAGACTGATTTGCAGTAAATTGGCTTATTCCAGCATAATAAAAAAAAATAGTCTTTGCTATATGCCACTAAAATAAATTAATCAAGGCTATTTAAAATTGAATTTTCACACCACAATCTTGTTTTGTTTCCTCATATATCTAAAATAATTGTATCCATCATCATTTAAAACCAATAATACAATTTGTGCTTTGCAGAAACCAACAACAAATTAAAAACCAAACCTTTGCATTAGTAGCAACAGAAACTGCCAACAGTGCTTGAGAAATGAGTATGATTTTTCCTTCACTGTTACTATAGCACATGAAATCTGGGAGTAAATGGAGCCTAGTACAATCTTGTGACTGGTTTAAAGGCTGTAACACTTCAGGACAATGCAAATGGCTTCTCACATTAAAAGGACATTAAATCGTTTGGCAGTTTAGTAGAAAAGGCATACAACTGCTCTCAAATTTTAAAACATACTTCTGTGAAAAATTACCCCAGGGTTGCAGGAGACCCTGAGGCTACTGTAATGTACCTCTTCATGTGTGCTCTAAGTGATGGTAGCCTTCCCCAGGCTTTCCAGGGTTGCAAAAGGCAGCAGTCCTGTTGTTCAAAATATTTAAAGTGAGTGATTAATCAGGAGCTGTGTCACAGGCATACAAAGCAATGGAGATGCAAAAACTGAAAAAAACCCAGTGGCTTTGTGGAGGAGGTGTAACAACCCTTGATTAATTCTGCTAATGGAAAAGAGTGTTGTGGATAACACAAACATCATTAAATGCCAAATGAAAACCAGCCTGAGTTTGTCCCAAAAATATAAATTGAAATTTTAAGATGTGAAACACATTTTCCTCCCATGAAACTGTTATCCTTGGGGGTGGTTCTATAATTTAACCCAAACACGATCTTCAAAAGAATAATGTTCTGCAGTGTTAAAGGAGTTAGAGTAACAACATTTGACAAAGGGAAACACATCCCAGATACACTCTTCCTAGAATAAACATAGTTTTCTATGTACTGCCCCACTCCCCCATGCCTATCCCCAAGCCCTAATATAGAGAGACTAAAAACTGCAAAGGTGAAAACTAAATTGTTGGGGAATTTTTAAAATCTGCTAGGGTTTCCCATAGTCATTGAGAATAGGTGCTTTGATAAAACAGATTAAAATAATCCAGATTTACTAAAGCTGTTACAGGTACACAAACTGGTGTGCTCCATAAATACACTCACCAAGGCAGGGAGAACAGCTCTCTATTCATCAGTCATTTCTATCCAGCCTTGCAGCATGGCTTGTCATTCAAGCTTTCAACAGATAATATTCAGTGGGCGTTATGTCCCAGGCACCATGCTAGATACTGAGGATGAACTAGTGAACAAAACAAACCCAGTCACTGCCCTCATAAAGTCAAGCACCCAGCAACTCTCAGCACATAATAAGAGTACAATAAATATAACTCTTTTTCCTCTCCCCTTGGCTTCTTTTAGTTAGTTTACTCTTCTGCTAAATGAGAAGAATGCTATACACCGTAGAACATTACTAAGATTAAGAGTTCTAATAAAAGCTAAAAAAAAAAA